GCTGGCAGGCTGAGATTTTCATCTCTAAAGTTGCCTTTTGGTGTTGGCAGGAAGACATTTTTAAAGGATCTTAACGTTTTTGGTGAAATCCAATTAAATTGGACTCAAATTCATTTGCTTTATCTGAAGTGTGAAAAGTGGATTAAAACAGTTTTAAATGTGGAAAACATGTTCCCCACCCCCTTCATTTTGCATGACCTATAGCCCAAAGCTTTGTGCTATGAATAAGGTGTTGGGTTTTGTTCTAATCAGACCCCACTCAATGGCCATAGCTAGTCTTTCTGAGTGTTGTACGGTTTTAGTTAATAAAGTACTTAATTTGGGTCTTATCTTAAGAAATAATTACTTGGTTTGGGGACTTTCTTTTGTTCCCCTCCCCAACTGAAGAAATTCTGAAACATTAAAAGTTGTACTGAGTTAAATTCATGAACCTGGAGATAATGTCTTCAGTATCCTAAACTGGAATTGTATAGATAGAATAAGGACAGGATTTGAACTACTTGGAAAATGCCCTGTAAAGCCAAGACTGCCATTTTTATGAAGACTCTAAGACAGAATAATTACCGCTTTCTGGTTTTCAGAGTCAAAAAGATAGTATCTGTGAGTGTCTTCCTTCCTAAATCCAAACCCAAAGCTCTTAGCTTTGCACTGAAATGAGACTCTCCTTTGAGAGGGTGGAGGATAAGGAGAGGCTGAATCAAAAGATCTGGCTTGTTTCCTTTGGTTTTATCTTTCCCATACATTTTTCTCTCATTTAACCTCTCAGTCATTCCCATACATACTTCAAGAGGAACAACGTTCTCATACCATCCCTTGCCATGTTCTTCCCAGGAAAAGTGCCTAGAAACAGGCCAAACATAGAAACAAATCCCTCCTTTTGTTCCCTAACAAATTGGAGTCATACTAGAATTTTTCAAAAAACCTTGTTAAAATGTTGAGGAAGAACAAAAAGGGAGTAAACAAAAATAAATCAAGAATCATGGATAACATAGTCTGGCCTTCTAGCTAGCTTAGTTCTAGGGCTGAAGAACCAGTCAGTGTTTCTGAGGAAAGCCTGGTCAGCCTGTCCTGGGCCTCCCCTGAGTGTTTGCTTCCTAGCCTGGGGTAACTTCCCCTTTGAACTTGCACTCAACCTTCCTATTTTATAAGGATATGGTTTCTTAGACATTACGATTCTTTCACTTCCAAAACTGCGAAAGAGATTCTAACCTTTCACTGAGATCTCCACCTACATCCCTGCTGGTGGTCTGAGTGATAGACCTTTCCCACAGGCAACCCACAGGACTTTGTTAATAATACCACGTCAAGTGAGATCCCCTACCAAGCGGGTTGCTTTGATTCCCCAGGCTTTTAAGCCTGATGTTTTATTTATATTTGAGAGCTTAGTAAGCAATATCCCAAGAAGTTGTAGTTTGCTCTTGGAACTTTGGGTTAAGAATCTTCTTTTCCAATACCTAATGAATGCATTAAAAAATACTAAAATGTAGAGAAATTCTCTTACTGGGAGCAACCAGAAAACAAAGGGGTATGGCCTAAAAAGCAAGTGGCAAACTAGGAAAGAAATAGAAGATTCTAGATCAAAATAGAATAGCACAGCATGGTAACACTCCAAATGCCACCATCACCCCTTAGAAATGACTGTCACTAAATTCCAAGAATTTTCATTAGTACTCCCAGATCTAGAGACATGCAAATTGAGTGGGTGTCCTGTTCTTCACCTGTTCTGAAGATCTACAGAGAAATGGTTTCGGAGGAGAAATAAGAAAAACAGAGAAACTGAACAGTGGATCTGACTCTGATGGAAACACAAGTTCCTGGGCTACAAACTGGATTTAGGGGCAGATCTACAATCCAGAAATATTCCCTGTATGGAAATGGGATATATCTCCAATTAGCTAGAGTGAACCTTGGCAGTGGAAAATGATAAAACCTCAGAAGAGAGTGTAGAGCCCAGATAGTCTAACACAGTCTGGCACAGACTCACCTGAGTTCTCTCCCTTTGTCAAATACTGAGAACAACCAAGTGAATAGAGCATAAAATACAGTAAAACTGTAGTTTGTCAGAAAAAAAATTTCAAGGACAGTGGTAAGGTGGTCAAAATGTCACTTCTACTGTGTCAACACAAATAGAAGGTCTGAACAGAACTATCTAATCATTAGTAAGATGAAAATAGACAATATAGAACCTATGCAAACACTGCATAGCTAACAGAATAAATAATTGAGTATATATATACTCCCATGCAGAAAAACAGCTAATCTGTCCTAGAAGAAAACAGAACTCAAGGAACAGATGAAAATTTCCCCACAAGTGCTGAGCTAGAGAACCACCAAATGAGAAATAGATTCCGTGAAACATATGTCAAAGTCAAGATATCAGAATGAGATGAAAAGGCAGATTTCTCCAAGGAGATGAAGGCTAAGTAATTTGAACATGAGGCAAGGCTTCCAGGTTTTCTCTTTATTTCTGTAGTACCCATTTGTTTATTTCTGTAATGGTGAACACACCAAGAATATTTGTCATGCAGACTCTACATATACTTATTGTATTGGACTCTGGAAGCTGCCTCCTTCCTCTGCCCTCTAGCCTAGCGTGTGCTGATATCTGGGGGGGAGGTGGGGCTACATTGTCTTTCCCCTGGTAGATTTCTCAGTCTCTTCTATCACCTGCATACCTGATTCCCAGTACTAAGTTCCCTATGTTATATATAATCAGAGTGATTTCTGTCACTCACAGACCCTTTCTGAGAAAGGTGTACTCATGGATATTATTCAGCAAACGAATATAAACTAAGGGGAAATGTGGGATTCAAGAAAGATTAGTAAGCAAAGAAACCAGTAAAACGTTTATAAATGATTGATTACAAGTCAATAGCAATTTAAATACATTAACAGTCTAATAATAATTGATAAGGACTTAATAATAATTAAAATTCCAGATGATTCCTACCTGGGGAATGGTGTGGGAAGGGAAAGGAAGAAAGTTAAAGCATATTAGGATCCTTATATAGGTAGAGAATGTAGACCCTGATTAAGCAATAGAAAGAAGAAGATAAAATATATCTCTCAAAAATTTTTAAGGAACCGCTCATATAGAAACAGAAACAGGGGTGACTTCAGGGTGTGACTAGAGGAAATAAAGCAACAAAGAATAAATTGATGGAATAATATATACCTTGCAAATGCTAATGAAAAATAAAGCAAGTGTAGCAATATTAATGTTAGATAACATCGAATTTAAAAAAAAATCTTTAAGTAGACGAATAAGTGATATTCCATACTGATGTACAGCACAATACATGAAGATGACATATTATGAAACTTTGTTCACCTAACAACATAGTTTTGAAATAGATGCAGTCAAAGGTGATAGAAATAAAAAGAACATTTAACAAATTAAAAGCCATATGGACTCATTTTACATGCCTATATCAGAAATCAACAAAGTAAATGTAAGGATGTAATATAGAGAATAGTAATATATGAAATCTTGTTATCTTCCCCCCAAATTTTTCTCTTAGCTGTTCATCAAAAAATTTTAATTCCAGATAAACTTTAGAATCAGCTTGTCTGATTCAGTTGTTCTATTTTTTAAAATTATTAATTAATTCTTTGCACTGCCAATCAAAAAGAAAGTTTTTGTTTTGATATCTGGTATAATATACATTGACGCCTGGCATCTCTAGGTATTTGAAATTGTGATCCCTCATGGAAGAAGAGAAGAGGAACAAGGATGGAATTTTATGTAATAACAACATTTTAGACATTGATAGAGGGAATGGAACCAGTCAGGAAACTCAAAAAGGAATGGCCAGAGATGTTCCAAGAGAACTAGGAGAGAATGATGCTGCAGAAATTATGAAAATGTAATCAAGAGGAAGGAAGTGACTGGAGAGAAAAATACACAAAAAAATTGGGTCTTTAAGAGGGTATAGGAAGAATCTGGTCCTGAGAATGCTGTGGAAATAGCTAGTACCTCTTTCTTCAGGAACAGAGTAAAAGAAGAAAAGAAACTATTGCTTCATGTAGCACATTGTCATGTAGGTCAGCTGTCCCTCATTGGTTCTTCAGTAATAGCAAGAAAGACTATAAGAAAGATTGCTGGTTAGTTATACAAATACTCAGTCTAAATCTCTGAGATGGACCCAGATTGGGTCATTCACTGACATGAAGTTCAGGCTAAAGAGAAGGGAATGAGGCCATGAGGGGCAAACAGATTTGGAAAACAATGGAAAGGTCAAGAAGAGTGAAGGTCTGAGTCATGTCAAAAGGCAAACAAGAGAGGAAAGGAGAGAAGATTCTAGTCAGAGACTAGAATATTGGTATTTAAGATTTCATGGTTGCAGTCATTTGGAATGATGGCAAAATCCAAGTTTAGATCATGGAAATAATTTGTTTAAAGTAAGATGAAGCATCAGAGTTTCTCTGGATGGTGGAATTTCAGCTGATTTTTATATGTATACTTATTTCTTATATTGAACATGTGTCACTTTTATAACTACATAAAGACAATCCTGTTTAAATTTTTGAAAAGTTGGAGACAGAGGCTCCGCACTACCCCTAACCCTCAAGTTCCAATCTGTAAATCGTGGAAGGAGGATTCTGATTGGGCTGACTTGCTCAGATTGCTTCTCCCTGGATCAATGAGTGTGGTGTGGGATTAGCTCAGTTTGATTCAGGTGCGTAGCTTTAGATGCCTGGTTGGGACCAGGGAGTTAGTTTAGGAGAGGAAAGTTAATTTTTAGAACTTACTTGGCTAATCCAAGTTGGATGATGCTATTTCATATTTTTCTGAGTAACAGGAGAAAGTAAGGAGTTAGGATTAGTGAGAAATGGTATCAATGAGAAAGTGTCTAGACATATGAAAATAATAAAGGAAAATGCTCAGGGTATGGATACATTTGCCATGAAACAGGAATGACTTAATGAAACGCATTTTATATAAAGTTGAGCAATAAATAGGCTTTGTATTTATATTTTTGTACTTAATTTTTTTGCAGCATGTACTGTATGGAAAAATTGTCAATTGTGCACAGAAAATAATAAAGTAAGTTAACTTTTATGTGAGGAAATTGTCTTGGGAACATTATAAAGTCACACAGTTTACAGTTGTAGTCTAAAAGATATGCCAAACTTTGTTTTACACAATTTTTTGATAGTAGGAATGACTAATAGTGGTTATTAAGAAGTATTTCTGCATTTCAAACCGTTCCTTGAGAATCTAGAAATAAACAAAGGAAAAGTTTAGTGCAAACATGTACTTGCTTCTAGAAAATTGTACTTCAAAAACAAAACAATTTTTTGTTTGAAAAAATTATACTTCAATTTAAAAAAAAGAAAAGAAAAAACACACTCTTTAGTCTGGTTCAAAACCCATCACAATCTGAGAAAAGTTTACCTTTCCAAATAATTCCACAAAATTTCATGCCGACGGATTTCACTCCTGCCACAGTGGAAACCTGTTCTTTATTCTACCATAGCTTCTGTATCTAAAGCCCTTCCTTCCTGCACAGATTTTACCTTTTCTTCAAAGCTCAGACAAATTCTTCCTATTCTCTGAAAGAAATCTTAACCAATCAACTAGAAGTGAGTACTTTCGCTATGAACTCCTATTACATTTATGATCTGTTCCACTCCTTTTGAAATTCTAATATTCTTCCATTTAGAAACATTTGTTTTTTTATACAGTGGAAATATTATACCTGCCAGTTAAATTTTCAACCTCTAGAAAACAATGCTTTATATATCAATGTAACCTAACTTCCATTATATCTAGCATTTGCCCATAATTAGTAAATGCTCTTTTTATCCTCTCTATGTCCACTACTTTAAAATCCCTCTTTGCACAATAACACTTATTTAATATTTTTGGCCAGTATAAGTATTAAACCATTTAGTTTATACAATGTTAACAAACCATTAAACATTACTATGTACCTTCCCCCCTTCTGCATTTTTTCATTTTAATGATATTAACCATCATTCTAAAGTCTGTTAGCTGACTTCTCACTTCTCACTCTCTTAAGGGTCTGAGGTTAGCATGGCTTTGTATTTATATGGGTCATCTTCCTTAGCTACAAGAAAAAATTCATGTAATTTGTCTTAAATTACGCATTACTAATTTAGAGATGTTGAATATATTCTACTGTTCCTCTGGTTAATTTGAAGTTCTTCTCTTTGAAGACTTTTTAGCCTTAATTAAGGAATTAGTCAGGGACTTTCTTGGCGGTCCAGTGGTTAAGACTTCACCTTCCAGTGCAGGGGGTGCAGGTTCGATCGTTGGATGGGGAGCTAAGATCCCACATGCCTCCAGGCAAAAAAAACCATAAAACAGAAGCAATATTGTAACACATTCAATAAGGACTTTAAAAATGGTCCACATAAAAAAATAATCTTAAAAAAAATAAAAGGAATTGGTCAAATCTTTTTGAGGTAACTGACAGACACCCAACTCAAACTACTTAATTAAAAAAGAGAATTTATTAACTCACAAAACTGGTAAGTCCAGTGTGGCCTTGACATCATGCACAGCTGAGTCTTAAAGGATGTTATTCCCATTTCCTCTCTCTCTTTTCATCTCCCAGCTCTGCCTCACTCTGGGTATTGACCTCATTTTCTTCTATGGCAAATGAACATTTTCCATATAGCTGGGGAAGAGGCAGGCTCCCAGCAGACCTCTCCCAATGCCTGTATACAATTCCACAGAGGATTCTGATTGACCCTATTTGGGTCTTATGTCCAGTCCCGCACTAGTTACTGAGCCAGAGGGATGGGCTACTCTGAGTGCCATTGCCTGGGTCAGGTGATTCCAGGAGGAGGAAAGTGGTGGAGCATAGCTGACTGATAGCTGCAGACCCACATAAAGGTGGGGAAGAGATCCGAAAAGGTAAGAGGGTGTGGGTTACCATAGGAAGAAGGATGGTGACACAATCTGGGCAGACAGAGAGTAAAAAAATAAACTACCTTAGGCTACTGTGTTTCACCCTTTGAGCTTTCAGGAAGTATTTTCTCCATCCCTACATTTAAAAAAATGCTCCTGTTAATTAATGCAACCAACCCTCAAGTAAAATTGTACTTACCCAGAGTCGTTGTCAGTTATTGCCCCCCAGCTATAACTTTGGAATGTCAGAGAGATGTATGTGGTGTGCAGACGCTCTGTTGAGTTTCCCTGGCCAAGCAGTGAGTTATTGGTCACCAATCTGGCTGCCCCAGGCTTAACCTGCGAAGGAGCTCCCTTTTCCGTTGTTCTCTGAGCTCCTATCAGAGAGAGGCACAGGGAAGAATGTCTCTTCTGGGGACTGCACTGCTTTAGGAGCTCATGTGCTGTGAACCTGGTTATCGGGGCCAGGGAATCAGCTTAGCACTAAGTGACCACAAACTCTTCTCTGACAGGTTCAGGTTTTTTCTGGCGTTTCATCTCCCTTAAAACCCTGCTAGATGGCATGAACTTGATTCCTAAAAACTCTGAGATCTAATAACCAAGGCCTGAAGTCTCTGGGCTGTAATCCTTGAATGTAGACTTTGACTTTGAAGTTCCAGTCTTTAAGCAATAGTCTAAGAGGACAGGATCCATTTAGCCAAAATGGCTTCAATCTTAAATTTGCCTTCATTTGACCTCTGATCTTGGTTAACATGAAACAAAAGTTTGCCTGTGATATATCTCTTGCTCTCAGGCAGTGTCTAAGGGGTGACTTTTTACAATGGAATGTGTATCCTGCTGGTCTCAGGATATACAGCAAGAAGTGATTGGGAGGGGTCTGGGATCAGTCTTATAGGATTGGTTACCAGCATAGAACCAAATTGATTACATTAGAACCTAAGCTTCCCTATTTACTAGGTATGTGACCTTATGAGAGTCATTTGACTGCTCTGTGCCTTAGTATCCTCCTCTATAAAGTGGATATAACAGTACCTAGCTTACAGGGTTGTCATGAAGATGAAATGAGTTAATATATATAAAGGGCTCAGAACGGTGCCTGTCACGTGGTAGGTCCTATGTAAGTGACAGCCATTTTTACCACTCTGTCCTCATTTTTTACTCTTCCAGGTTCTAGTCTTATCTTCCACGGTGGTTACCACCATTGTACCTTGCTTTTGCTTGCTTCAGCAAGAGACTTAGAATTCAATATTCCTATTTCCACATGATCATCTGGCCACCAGTGAGCAAAAAGGGGAAAGGGGGTAAAGCAAGGCTGGTTGAGAGCACCACCAGGCCCACATGTAACAGAAGAGGAATCCCCAGAGGCAAGTGTGAATGCTGCAGACAAGGGGAATGGGAAAGAGTGTTAGAAAGAGAGAGGGAAAAAACAAACAACAACAACAAAAAACACCCTATCTTCTGAAGTCATTATTACTACTTTGTGAAATAATGTCTTAAATTTAGTTCTCTAACTACAGAGCCTGAGAAAGTGATTCAGGTACATGTGATTTCTTGAGTGACTGCTGTTCAGCAAAATTCTATGAAGGAGTACGGGACCCAGAGAAACTAAGGGACAAGAGCCAAGCAAAGATGTGATCTCAGCCAAAGCCTACACTGGCCTGAACCATGGGCAGCCCTGGGGCAAAAAGTTACATAGCAGAGTTGTGCCTGCCTTGAGGCAAGGATGTCCATTGTTTGGAACCCCATATACTGGTCAATTCCTGACAGAGGTCAATTCTTGACCACAGGCAAGATGGTCCCTATCCACAAGGACAATGCAAGAAGAAGGGCAGCTTGAGCCATTGGCAGTCAGCACTCATTGCAGCTAGGTTTGTGTGCATGGGCCTGGTAAAGTGGATCTGGTAAAGCGGCAGACCACCAACAGCATCAACTACAAATAATGATAATAAAATAATGATGATGATGATGATAGCTGTTATATATTGAATACTTATTGAACTAGTACTAGAAACTTACTGGGATTGTGGTTATTATACTTGGACACTGCTTTTATTTTTTTTCTTTCCAAATACAGTGTTTTTGGTGCAGTGAAGAAAGGGCTTGCAAAAAAATTTGTTTTCCATATTTCGGGTGTCATTTCAGTTCTATATTTTGGTTGAACTGTCACGGTGAGTTGTCCTTATTTGAATTTTATGTACTTTTTTTTTTTTTTTTTGCGGTATGCGGGCCTCTCACTGTTGTGGCCTCTCCCGTTGGGGAGCACAGGCTCCGGACGCGTAGGCTCAGAGGCCATGGCTCACGGGCCTAGCCACTCCGCGGCATGTGGGATCTTCCCGGACCGGGGTACAAACCCATGTCCCCTGCGTCGGCAGGCAGACTCTCAACCACTGCGCCACCAGGGAAGCCCTGTACTTTTTACAATTGATTAGCAAACTAGTGATTTGCTACAATTGAAGAATTATAAATTATTATATTTGCTTTATTAAAATATAGCAAGTCTGTTCATTGGTGTTTCCTCTGATACAGACTGATACTGATTGTTTCCAGCCAGTGTTGGTTCAAACTAGGTCAACATTCATTCTGATTTGTGGGTGCCTTACCATACCAATTGTTAAATACTTTAAATTTCATCTCTAAAGTACTCTGATGTACAATAACCATAACCCAGTAAAGGGAGGTTTGTGTTCTTAAGTTGTTTTAGAAACTCCAGGAGTTTCTTGTAAGCTAGTCCTGAGGACATATTGAGCCCAATAGCATTATTAATAACTTATATTTCCTCAGCTAATGTGTTCAATACTGAGAATTGACATTCAGAACAATGACTCCCTGGGACTGAACTCATCTCAATCATTAAAGAATCTTTATATCTGTAATGTTGTATTTTTGGTTTTTTTAAAAAATTGAAGTGAAAAAATATAAATTTTGCTCACAGATCCATGTTTTCTTCAGAAACCATCAGGTAAATTTAAATCATAGTTGTAGCAAAGAACCTATATATAGCAAGTGACACTTCATGTATTTAGTATGAATGGGGAACCCTAGTTTCCTACTTCATCTTCTGCCCTGCTAGTTTCATTTTACAGGTACACCAGGCTCATAAGTTAAATAGTATTGAGAGGGGATACAGTTTACAGGTGTGCTGGAAATCTGCTTTCCCAGCAAGCGTTGGCTGCCTTTTTGATAAGGAACTGCTGAAACTCAAACAACAAACCATCCCCTGCTACCTACTATTTTATCTTCATAGAAACAGCAACCTGAGAGATCTATTCTTTCTGTTGAGATATTGCCTGGAATGAGTCTAGAGATAAAATAAAGGAAAAAATAAGCCTGTGGCCTAATAGTTTACCTATCTGGAGATAAAGAACATTAAATGTTTCCTCTTTTTAGCAACCCAGATTATTTTCAAATGTTAGTGATTATTGCATTAAGAGTAGTTTTATTGGAGCATATGATGTATGTTACTGTATCATTTTTAATAATGACCAGTGCATTTGTATTTAAGAATCAGACTGCATGATATTAGGAACGATGAAACTATGAGAAATTATTAACCTTCTGTTAGCTTAAAATATATTTCTTTTCTTTTCATACATTTCAGTTGACATGTTTGGATTCCTGATGCTTCTACTCATTGCAGTATTGATTATAGTGTTCATTTGTCAATGCTTCATCTATCAATATTACCTGCAGACGTATGTTCCTTTTATCCTTAGTAAGAATGCACTTTAGCATAGTATCATTGAAGAGAATGCTAAGCTAGTAATCAGGAAATGTTTTACCTTTTTTATGTAATAAAAATAGTATATGCATCCATATGATAAGGAAAAAATTTTCAAAAGGTACAGAAAATTATAAAATAAGAAGGTTATTCCAGGACTTTCCTGGTGGTCCAGTGGTTAAGAATCCACCTTCCAATGCAGGGGACACGGGTTCAATCCCTGGTTGGGGAACTAGGATCCCACATGCCGCGGGACAACTAAGCCTGCATGCCACAACTAGAGAGCCTGCGCCTGCGTGCTCTGGAGCCCGTGTGCCACAACTAGAGAGCCCGCACGCCGCAACTTCTGACCCTGCGTGCCACAACTAGAGAGAAGCCTGCATGCCGCAACAAAAGATCCCGCGTGCTGCATATCCCACGTGCCTCAACTAAGACCTGACACAGCCAAAAATAAATAAATAAATATTTAAAAAGTAAACTCCTTACCTTATTAAAAAAAAAAGTTTGTTTTTCCCACTCCCCACTCCACCTCTGACACCTCCTCTCCAAAAAGAATCCTTTTAATATGATTCTATTTGTATTTCTTTTTTTGGCTACCTCCATGTGTTTGAACAATATGGTTTTATCTCCTTTTCATGATTTCTTAACTTCACATGTTATCTATCAACTCCCCATCATGAAAGCTGAAAAATTTGTCTTGCACTATCCATATTTTTTTGTTATTTTGCTGTTAGGGGATATTATTATTTTGCTTGTTTTTTGGGTTTTTTTTTGTGGTACGCAGGCCTCTCACTGTTGTGGCCTTTCCCGTTGCGGAGCACAGGCTCCGGACGCACAGGCTCAGCGGCCATGGCTCACGGGCCCAGCCGCTCCGCGGCATGTGGGATCTTCCTGGACCGGGGCACGAGCCCGTGTCCCCTGCATCGGCAGGCAGACTCTCAACCACTGCACCACCAGGGAAGCCCCATTATTTCTTGTCAAGAAGGACACAGGACACTGGTATCTTTATTCCTATGACTGTGATTACTCATCTAGTATTTGGTAAAATATATTCATTGTCTTCTTATAGATATTCTTTTAAAAGTCCTGTGACTTCCTGTTATAATTTACAAAAATTAGTTTCTTTTCACTGCTCTACTGAGAAGAAATTTTTGGATCCCATATCTTCCTTTTTTTTAGGATTCATTTTTTTTCCCTTTTGCTGGAGTATATTCTCAAGTAACTTTTTCAAAAGGAGTTCACAGAGGTATGGAAAATATTTTCATAGTCCATACACGTTGAGAAGTTTGTTTTTCTTCATTCTCCTTCAGGCCAACACAGTATTATTTTCTTTCTTTAAATTGTATACCTTTTTCAAGAAGGACCCAGAGACAAGATAGAAAGATCCATAGATAAGGCAGAGGCACTTTAATAGGCCCATCTGTAAGTAAAATGTGCCTGTATGAAAAGATAAGTGTTGGCCAAATGTTCTGTTTGCTTACTTAAGACCACTTCTTTGTCTAGGACTTTGTATTTTTCTGGCTATGAGACCATATATCCTTTTCTTATTAACATATAAAGATAAAAGAAAGAGTAAGATGGAAGATAATTCCTTATTCTTTACATCTTAGAAAAAAAATATACCCAGAAGGAAGAACCAGTAAGGGTACATTACGTATGTGGCAAGAGTCTGTGACAAACATGTTGCTTTATATATATATATATATATATATATATATTTCCCCCCAACCCACCCCAGGATCCTGGTCTCTTATAAGTGTTATCACTTTTTTGCATAGTGCTTATCAGTAAAGTGGCTAATTATTCCCAGAAGAGAATAGGGGCCTGAGCAAATATCCATCACTGAAGTTTCTGCAGTTTAGAAGGAAAACTCTGAAGCATCTCTGCAAATATGGGCCAACAACTGCCCTCAGTTCTGGTTTAGCTCTGCTATTCATCTGCTATCTCTTCCTTTTTGATTTCTTCTAGAGATCTCCTAGACCTTGTTAATTCCATGAGCACTGCATTCTGTTAGAGGAATTTGTCTTATTAAGGGCTTCTTGTATTTCATAATCCAAAGATGCTGCTTGGGTTCCAGAAACATCCATCTTTCATTAAAAAAAAAATGAATGACTAATGGGGCATCAAAAGATTGATTACTACATCTGATCTAATAGTCTTGTTATTTAGCAGATATGATTTTAAGTTAAAGCACTTTTTAAAGTTCCAAGTGTTAGAGAACATAAATGTTTAACCGCTTGTGTACTCACTGCCTCCTTTGACTCTCATCTATTTTAGTAAATATTTACTGAGTATTTATTATGCCTTAAGTAGTGTGGTTGTCACTAGGGACATAATTATAACAAGAAAGATAAATCCTTGCCTTCGTGGAGCTTACATCCTACTAAGAGAAGACACAGAGAAGTAAACAAGCAATTGTTAATTCTATTGCTAACTTACTGATATTTCAAATGATATTTCATTTATTTTAATTGTATTACTGTATTCTTAAACACTTTAATTCTCCTGGTGGATAAATAAAAGGAGAACTTAATGTAATAAAGCAATGGTAATAAAAGTTTACATAAATGTAGTCTATCTAATAAGATAATTCCAATTATAACTTTATTCTGAAAATAAGCCTCACTAACTCTAAGTTTACCATCCTTTTGAACAGAACTCAAGTCTATATTGCTGGAAGACCACACACGATTTACATTCCTCGTGGGACTGCTCCTGGCAAGTATTATAATTTGTTTGATGAGGTGCCCCAGACTCTTTCAGTAACTCACAGCTGTAAGTCTTCCTCTTACTTATCCCAGGCATCAAAATTAAAGTATGAGTAGGAAACACTGTTCTCATTTCTAAAACACATTCTTATAACCTCAATAGCTAGTGTAGGATGGGTAAAAACCATAATATTGATAGAGAAGAGTTTAAAATTTCCAACCTAAATTGGATATTAATACTTTTCCCAGTTACCCCAACTCCCACTCCACAAAAGCAACTCAACAAAAGTTTCACTTTGCTTTAAGGAATCCTTGAAGACTTTTCCCAAATCAATTCATCCTACCTAGTTGACTGACCCTATCTCCACTCTTTTCAGCTTGATTCTTTAAACCTTCCCGTACTTACAAGGCTCCTGCTTACCCAGAACTCAGATCTTAGCTCCCTTCAGCTCAACATGCACAGCTCTGGGCAGGTCCTCACACTCCTCTGCCCAGGCCTAGATCCTGGGAACCCAACTGAAGTCAGAACCATAGCCCCCTTGTTCACCTGGGTAATTGAACCATAAAGTATTGACTGATGAAAGGGTACTGCAAGGTCCTTTATAATTTCCATTAAAAATAACATCAGGGGACATCCATATTATTGTGCTGCTCTGGGCCTCTGGGACATGATACTAAATCTGAATGAGAAGCAGGGTAAACCTTGTAGGGGCAAGGATGAACTGTCAAGCATGTACATACTCCATTGCTAACTTCTAGATCTTGTTACGTAGAAATTGTTTTGATGGTAACAGGATCACGAACTGTTTCAAAAAGCTATTTGAGGAGAGGAGGTGAAGTACAGGGTGATTGCTGCTTCCTAGGATTGAAATCACACCAGAGGGCTGCAGAGGACGATGCGGCATTTCAACTTATCTCCCTACATGTTCAATTCCACAGCAAAGTGAACCAGGAGAAGTGCTTTGAAGAGAGCACAGGGTTGGATATTTATTCATTTCAGATAGAAACCGTTATCTATTCACAGATTGAGAGCAGTTAGTTACACTAGATTCATTGTAGGGAATAAAATGTGATCAAATTCAGAAAGCAGGATTATTTTCCACCCAGGAGAAAAATCTCAAGCCCAAGGGATAGCCTATATTAAAAGGTTGAATAAAGGAAACAAGATTCTTCAAAAGGCATTGAGAAGAAGATGGAAAGTGGAAGCGTGGTGTCATAGAGATCAGGAAAGGAGGGTCTGAATGTATGAGTGTCCTTTAGACTTACAAATTGGGAGGTTACTGATACCCTAACTGCATGTGGTAGTCTTAGGAGTGTTTATTCGAGACACAGTATAAACAGACTTCTGACTTGTGGAAGAAGAAAATATGGAACCTGAAAAACGTCATACACTATGCACATTTGACCACGATGCCTCTCACCCAGAGTTATTTTCCTGGAGTGATAGTAATATCGCCCCTCTTGGTCCTTGGTCCAAACTCCTCTAGAAAATGAATTCAGAAGATGATTTGAAGGGATTAGGGAATCATTGAGCATCCACAGGTTTTCTGTCAGCAGAGACAGCTAGTCTTGTGGTCACCACCAAATGTTTGCCCTTTTCCTCTTTGTTAAACTCATACCCAAGTTGATAATACCTTAAGTCATTTGAGCCCTAAATATTAAAATAGCAGTAATATTGCAGTATCAGAATAGAAATCATATGATTATTTCTAGATATTTTATGTTAAGCACTTTTTAAAAATTAGGTAAGTCATCACTGACTTTTCTTAGAAAGACTTTGAAAAGGTAAATTGATTCTCTCTTCTCATAGTATATAATGAATAGATAACTGAAAAGCTAGATCATCCAGAGAGAGAAGAAGGAAGTTTCTTCAATGGTAAGCTTTCAAATTATATTGCATGAATTTTCTGCATGACTTCCCTCCCTCCTATTATGTAACTTTTCAGAAATGTAATCAGAATCATTAAGAAAGGAAGTGGAAATAAATCTGTAAAATGTAAACTGATATTCAATGCCTGACACATGTAATAGAAGGCAGCAGAAAATGGAGCTGTAACAGCTCCTCAGTCAGGCTGCCTTAGTTGAAATCTGGGCTTCATTTACTAAGTATGTCACATTGGACAACTAAACCTGTCTGTGTCTTAGTTTACTCATTTGTTAATATTCTCCAGTAATAGTGAATAAATCAGTGGGTAGCTCTGAGGGACAAAATGAGATTTTATGGGCAAAATTTTTAGAATTTCCCTGACAGTAAGTTCTTAATAAATGTTAATCGTTACTGCTGGAGTATAGAATCTCAGCCCTTGAAGGCATATGAAGGTTACCTGCCCAACCCCTCCTCCAGTGCTAGGACCCTCTTGCCCGTATCTCTGGCATGTTTGATGGTGAACAGCTGGAGACTGTCACTTGTATGAAAACAATGACTAATTTGGCTTTGTATATGTGTGCACGCGTGTGTATATGAATGTTGTGTGCACGCACAGGTGCTTGATTTTCAACAGGGTAAACACACAGGCATACTTTTATTGCCACTTCCTACATCCACCTACACAGAAAGGAAGACCCTAGCTAGAAGCATGCTCCATAATTGTATGGCTCCTGAAGTTGTCAGTGCAGGTGAATAAGAAACGAGAGGAAGGAGAATGCAGGTAACTCCCAGAAGCCTGCAGGCCCCTAGAGGCCAGAATGATCTCCAGGAGAGAAATTAGAGTTTAAAAGATCAGTGACACTAGGATGACCATCTATCATCCAAACTGGGACCATTTTGAGAGTAAAAGGGGGTACTATTAATAATTATTCTGGGAGAAAAGTTGTAAACCAGGAGTTTGCGCAAATGAGAACATGTAGTCACGCTGGTTAACACCCACTGTTGTGAGGGAAATGTGTGCATTTATTTGCAGTTGGAGGGATTGGGTATCTATACAAACTTTTAAAAAGGCAATCTGACAGTGTCTATTAAAACATTTTTTGGGTACTCTTTGACCTGGTAATTCTGTTATTAGAGATTTTTTTCCCCTTATGAGTCACCAAAATTATGTGTATTAGTTGAATCAGATGAATTTCTAGATTTGTCCATTTGTGACATACAATTTCATACAGTTCAAACTAATAAAATTGTCAGGAGTTGATTTATGTGTTGTGGGACCTGAAGCTTATGAAATTTTGAGACCCTCGTGAAAATTGTTTTTAAATCTTCTTTTTGTTAATTTTACAAAAATGTTTGACTCTGATAACACATATTCCCAGAACCTTAAAAGGCCTAGGGCAAATGAGGGCTCCTAAAGCTTAAGCTATATCACACACACACATATTTTATTAAATATTTTAAAAATAGGACACACACATCACACACATTCTTGTCTAGACTTGAATAAGAATGGAACTGTCATACATTTGGGGGTATAAATTAGTACAAGAATTCTAAAAATTAGTCTGCTAATATGAATCAAGAGCATGAACGTTTTTTTACTCTTTAAATCCCAATAATGTCACTTCTAGGAATTTATCCTATGAAAATAATCTAAAATAGTTTCATTTTTAACATGTAGCTCTATGATCCATTAGGAATTAAGCATGATATATGGTGTGAGATTCAGTTCCAATTTTATCTTTTTCCAAATGGCTATCAAGCACAATTTATTTTAAAAGCCCATCTTTACGCAAGTGATGAGATGGAATTTTTTTCATAAATTAAATTTCCATACACATTTGAGTATATTTTTATTCTATTCACTGCCATTGGTTTGTCTGGCTAATCATTCCCTAACACCATAATTACTTATGGAGGATGTATAAATTATTTTAATATCTGGAAAATGTATTAAACTTCTCCCCACCTCACATTATTCTTTTTGTTTCCGTTTTTTCTTAATTTTAAGTTCAAGCATAATAAAGATGAGTTGTTTATTCTAACTTGTGCCAATGCTGGAAATTTCAGAAAGTTAAACATTTGTTCTCTGGAAAAGATAATCATTCTAGAACTTCAGAGGTTCTCCATGGAAAGTAATTCATGAATTTACAGTGATTTCCTCTTGATTTGTTTCATCTTGGTTGTCCTCCCCTCCCCGTCCTGTCTTTCTTCCTCTTCCTCTTTCTCTTTTTCTTCTTTCTGTCTTTTCTTTTCCCTTACTTCCTTCATATCTTCCTTCCAGAGCAGACTTACCAAAGAAGAACTTGATGATATTAGTATTTTTAAAAAAAATTTATGTCTTCATATGCTGCCTTGCTGTCCAACTTTTGTACCAGAGAATTTCATTTTGAATAAAATGCTACTGCAGGGGGAAAATGTTGCTGGAAAGCTTTTACTATACAGTTGACCATATAATAATCATAGAAAGACTTTCAATTGCATAATGTAAAAGTTATAATTTTTAATGCTTTTTGCTTACATATTCTGTTAAAAATAAAACAGTGAAGCATTTAAAAAAAATAGACCTGATATTCCAGCCCAAAACTGTCTTCTATAAAACAATATTTTGAAATCTTAGAATAAGACATAAAAATATACTAGGACAGATTATAGAACCTAGTTTTCTATTCTTGTTCATATCTAATCAGTAAATTTAAAGAAAAGGTAGTGAACTCTATTGAGAGTTTTCACCCAGGATTGTGAGGAAACAGGGCTGTGAGGAGAGAGGAATAAAGAGCTGGAAAGACTGGGATTCAGGAAAGGCTTTGTTTGAGTGATGAGAATGGAATGAGGGAAAGAGTATTTGAAGGGAGAACTATCTTAAATTGGGAAGTGGGCTCCAAGGCAGAGCTTTGCCTGCAAGAATTTATTGGAGAATGTTCTTAGGAATAACACACATAAGGGAGAGAGAGAGAAGCAGACTTGGGCAGGGGGAATAATTGAATTGTCATATAGTCACAACAGAGACCTCAGTAAATTTAATGGAGAGTTCTGGAACCTAGATGGCCTCCCTAATTGAGGGAAAAGGGCCCAAACCTTCATATCAACTATCATTATATGTGGGATGCTCTCCAAAAGGAGACTTAACTTTGAGTGCAGCAGCTCCCTTTGACTGAGGGCAATTATCAAAGAGAGCCTGGCAGCTGGAGGAATGAGTGCCTTCTTCTGGAAAGGGAAGTCCAGGCATCTACCACAGCAGCTGTCATTCATTTGGGGGAATATTGAGAATAGTGATGCTAGGAAGATAGGATTTGAAATGTTCTACTACTCGTTAAGAGCACACTCTTCCTGCTCCACTTTAGCATTTTCTTTACAACCGAAGTGAACATTAATATTTCTTTCAATTATATCTTTCCATTGTTGTTGAAATTATTATTATTATTATTATTTGATTGACCCTATGCAGAGATTGGGCCATATGTGACCGGCTTTATTTCTGGGTTAAATAAATTTTGGAATAGAATTAATTGTGATGGTAACCAAGAAGGGAAAAATATACAAACAGAAGATGGTAGATTTATAAAGAAAAGAAGGTAATTGAAAAATGGTTGTCTTGGAGAAGTAGAAAAAAGCAGATCTAATGGGACAGAAAATGGTGAAGTAGAAGGTTGTCGCCAGAGAATAAAACTTCTCCTAGAACACTAGGAGATGGAACAGCTTCGGTCAGGAATTGGCAAACTTTCTTATAAAGCGCCAGATAGTAAATGTTTTAGACTTTTGGGGTCTTCTGGTCTACTCAACTGTTGTGTAAAATCAGCCATAGACAATACATAATCGAATATATGTGACTGTGTTCCAATAAAATTTTATTTACAAAAACATGAGAGGGCCAGATTTGGTTTGTGAGCCATAGTTTGTGGAACCCTGGTTTAGATGATGAAAAAGACCATTGAATGGCTAACTGGTGTTTGCCTATCTTGTTACACTGACTTGTAACAAATGTGTTTAAAGATTCCAAATAAAATATCCAAAAGAAGATACAAAGGGAAAGCTAGAATAAAGTAACCATTATGTAACTAATAATCTCATCACTTTTGTCACATGGTTGATCACAGTATGCACAGCCTTTCACTAATTTTTTCATCCTTCACATTTATATTCTTATTTCTAAATACTGAGTTTTTTGAGGTGGAAGCAACAATTAATCCAGCCAACATATGCCATCCTGATAAATCCAAAGGGGTTTTGAGAAACACATCATAAAAAGTAACTAATCTCATGAGAAATGTAGCAGTAATCCAAAAGGAATAGATTAGACTTCTGAAATATACATGTGACAGGGGTCTTTCCACTTAATTTGTGTGGAAATTGGTGTGGATTCTTGACAAATCTTTTACCCTTTATCATTTATTATGCAGCTGTCCAATAAAAACACCTTTGATACTTTTCCAGAGTTTTGCAATCTACATGACAAATTTTAAACTTCTTTGAAAAGGATGTTCATTGCCTTTTTGGAGTAAGGCAGTATTTTCCATATCCAAGTTGCTGCCTGGCCAAATCCACAAACAGGGATGTTATTAAGGAAAGTCTTCATTGGACTGTAGGTGAGATGAGATGACCCTAATCGTCACGACTGTACAACCAATAGAAATTTACTCCAAAATTTCATTTACTCTTACAAATTGGGTGCCCAAACAATAAAAAGGGAGAATTAAAGAGACGCGTTTATGTTGCTTATGCTTTTTGGTAAACACACGCTGTTGAGTTATCTATTGAGCATGCCAGAGGCTAATGAGAAAATTTGTGACTGAAAATCGTGGAGACAGACTTAACCTTCTGTTTCCTCCTGGTAGAGGAGAACAAACAGTTAAAAGGCTGAGGGTGAGTGGCAGAATGACAATAGCTTTGTTAACCTGACTCTGTAGATTAGATGATCATTGCCCAAAATGCCAGCTTCTGGTTGGCTGTAAGAAAATGCCTTTTTCTCATTTCACTCACCAGTTTCTCCCTCCATTTAAATGGTAATT